GGGAGGATTTTACTTAGGGATGTTTTTAAGTATAATTTTAATTGGAATACAGCTTCTAATATTTGGTTTTTAATTTGGTTTTATAGGGGTTTTTATCTTTGTATTTTACATTTGTATCTGTTTTAATATGCTGTGCACCGCCCTGAGTCCTGCGGGAGAAGGGCGGTATATAAATTAAATTATTATTATTATTATTATTCTCTGCTGCCGTGTGCAGGAAAACAAACGTTTGGTGGGGGGAGGTCAATCAACCAAATCCAACCAATTCCCCCCCCAAAATTGCCCCCCCAAACTTTTTCTGTTTTTTTCCCCTAGGGCTTCGCATCTCCAGTTAGGGTTGGGAAGGGAGTGGGGGTTAGGGTTACCATAACCACGAGAGGCCTGGCTACGGCCTCGCATGGGTCAGATGGGGAGATCCGCCAAGCCTCATGACATTGCCACGTTGGCCGCGATGCGGCAAATGGCTGCGGCTGGCCGAAACTGGCAGCGGAACAAGCCAGGCGGCGGTAAGGGACCGGTATACCGTTGGTTAGCAGGGCACGTATATTAATAGACTGTATATTACAAGCTTTTTGCAGTATTACTAGTAGTAGACATGTTGTGTGCATCCTCCTAACAAGCCAAAATATGAGCCTTGATTTGAAGATGAAAAATGGAAGATAGACTTCCAAATTAAAGGATTTAACAATTAAAGGAATTCATAGCATATTTAATGAATCATAAACAAGTGCTAGCCAAAATTGTCTGTTTCCTTCCATTTATTTTAAAATAGTTGAATCAGCAACCTCATACAAAGATACCAATGCTTATATCATTTAACAATTAAAATATGGAAGGGACAGCATAAAATGGGGAAAGAAGAAATCTATTTATGTAAAATTAATGTTCAGAAATTGCTGAAAGGGCTCTTTAAAGCTTTGTTATTGTTTTAAGAGGCTTCAATGATTTTGCACATAAACGCTCCTCCTGGGAAAGACTGAAGAGATGAGCAGGCCATCTGATGATCATTGCATAAGTTGCACAACTTTAAATTCTTCTCTTTTGGCAGGCAGAGATCATGGTGCATACTTTCAGCTCACTGCTCAAGCAGAGCTTTAGATTTTTATATAGATCATAGGTAGATAATCAGCAACTTTCTGTTAAAGTAGCCATTTTATAAGTTTTTATTGGTTAGCTAGATTTATTTCTGTTTATTTTTGTACAGTCATAAAACAATTCTAGGAAAAAGACATTCTCTTTTGGATGAAATCCAACAATGCCCAGACAGTTTCTTGTCTGGTTACAGCTGTTCCTAGACATTCAGTAGGCTTGAGATATGTTGAGCAGGACACGTTGGGCAAATGAAAGGTCCAACTCATCTCAGTGACTTTACTAGACACTGTAGGAATATACGATTGGATTTCATTGTTGTTTATTGATGCCTCATGAACACACTGTGCTTGACTCTTGGGGAAAACAAAAACCCATTTATATCTCATTTTGCATTTGTACTTTTCTTTAATTCAAAAGGAAAACCAAAGCAGTTAATAATTGGAATAGTGCTTATTATCTGAACTGTTAGCAAGTACAGCATTAGAAATTTGGCCCAAGGAGAAGAGCTATCTTTTTAACATTTTACTAATGTGAATTGTGTAGAGATTTATTCCTGTCTATTCAATATGTTTAATGGGTATTATATTTAAACTTAATGTTCCACTTGTCCTGTGTATTCAATTTTGGGTTAGATTAATGTTTTGGGAGCACAAGCCATGAGACTATGGGATTTTAATGAAAGAAAATGGTATCAGTGTTATTTATTAATGCTTAGAAGAACAATGGCCTAATTATCATTAACTTGTGATGTATGTTCCTCAAAAATGAAAATTCTTAAAAGTGTTTATCTTTTGTACTCATTATTAGGGCAACTACAAAAGTTAAATATAGTAATACTATTAGATAATTGTCAAATTATATGTATTCTATTGCAAGTTAATATACTATTGTATAAGATTGTAACATTTCAGATTAGAAAATATGTTTATTGCACCTTAAGTAGAATAAAATACAGAGAATGCAGTACATTTGCATGGTTGGACAAATGTGTAAATGGATTGTGTTCAAAAATTTTAGATTCCCCCCCACCAGTCATTTGTGTACTATTTATTTGCATAGCAAATATGGAAGGCTTTTTATGCTTGAAATAAGGGATTTTTGTAATAATCACTTTAAGCCTTAATTATAGTTTTGATTTACATACTGTCCAGGAATAATCTTTTTTAAGAGCTTTAATGAAATGTTCTTAAAATATTTTTCAAATGAGATTACACTTTAGAGAATTTACCCGCTTACTTCATATGCATAATCCATGTTTTAAAAAAGTGTAGAAGTTTCACTGATGATGTAAGACAGGGGTGTCAAACTCGCTGCATCACATGATGTGTTGCGACGGATTGTGACTTTTTTCCCCTTGCTGGAGCTGGGGTGGATGTGGTTTCTGCATGACGCATCCGGCCTGTGGGCCGGCAGTTTAAGATGTAAGAGCTTCATTACCTCTTAGTAAAAACCTTTGAAATTCTTACTTTGAACTAATATAAATAACAGTATCATAATATTGTTAAAGTTCAACTTTATAACATTGTTTCACCACAATTTATTTTTATAGGATTACCATACAGATACTGTTTTGAATGCAAAGTGCTTTTTAGGTTGTTTTTTTTCTCTTAACATAATTTGCTTTACTTTCCCCTTTAAATGAAGGATCACCTGTCAAACTAGTACAGCATTTTAAATCAATAAATGCTACCAAATAAAATTCCTTTTGTGTAGTCTGTTTTCACTATGTTTGATTTCAAATAAGCAGTTTGTCACTCTACTAGTGAATATTAGAGATTAAAGATACGAATAATATTTTTTCTTGAAACTTCCATCCTTGAAATGACTATATATTTTTGAGGACTTTGTATTGAGCTTGCAACAAAATTTAGCTGTTTCAAAAAACTTGTAACTGGTTTGCTTTTTTTTTTTCTTTTTTTTTTTACATCTCTGGCATTCCACATTTGGACCAGGCCTATGCAACTTGTAGATGGGGAATGGCTACATGATAAATTGCAAAAACCCATACGCTGCAAAGAAATAACTGGCACACCAAACAACTATCCAATCAACTATGTGGTGGCTTACACAGCACATGCTGTGGAGTGGCATGGCACTGAAGTTGGTGGCATGGTTAAAGTTTGGAGGCACTTGGCAGCACCTCATTTCATTTTGGTTGAATTTTCAGCGTACATGTTAAAATAACTGAAGATTATGTTGCTTTGTATGTTAATGAGTTGCCATCTTATGTTGCTGAACATGTATGTTCTGCTGTCTCAAGCTCTGTGTGCACATGTCTGCGTACATATGTATACTATGTAACATTTCGTTGCCTGGTGTAAGCTTTTCAGATAACATTTGCTGTGCTGATTGTCGAGCAAGGGATTTCATTTATTTTTTTCCACCATTGTTTACTCTATGCAGTAATGTTAACAATACTTCATAAACTATAACAACAGAAAAAGTCTTCATAGTGAAGAGTAATTTGTATTGGCTGGCATGGGTTTTTCTTGTTCTTTCTGAGGACTTGATTTCCTGCTTCTGTGACAGCCTGTTTTAACTTCTAAGGAGGCACTAATGAAAAGAATTGGAGAGTAGTCACTTTGATTTCTGTGTCTTAGCTAAGTGCCTCAAGAAGCAATTAAAAACATCTCACTGCTGCGAACCATGGAAAGTTCTATCCCAGGAGTAGCAACCTTGGCTCTTTTATGACTCGTGGACTTCAACTCCCAGAATTCCTGAGCCAGCCATAAAAGAGCCAAGGTTGCCTACCACTGTTCTATCCCATGAGGATTTTTAAAAAACTACTCCAAAATGTTGTAAAGATATTTGGATGGCTTGTTTTTATACACATTGGCTGGCTGGTAGCAGTCAGCATGGACTGCTGCTTCACCTGCTCTTGTGCTGCCAGAATGACAAGCAAAGGTCTAATATTCAGTTCCTCTGATCGGTTGCAATGAGAGCCTGGCCCTCTTCCCTTACTATAGTCTTAAAACATAACAATTTTAAAGGTCTTCACTCCCCTGAGAAGAGAGATTCCAGAAAAGCTAGGGGAGGCAGGCAGTACCTCTTGAATAGGATTGGCTTGCTATATGTCAGGTCTTGGATGGACTACCTCCAAGGAGACCCATAGACAGAGTCTCATACTTTCTCTCAACTCAAGGATACCTATTTCACAACAGTTGTTTATCCTTATCAGTGAATAAATGTTACCACTTTGAAAAGAGTTGCTGGGCATGGGAGACTATTCAGAACACACATGCTCAAAGAGCCATAAGCAAATATCAAAGACTGTATTTCATCTGTCAGGTCTGTTGAGACTAAACCAATCAGTTTGCTCCAGCTGCTCCTCCGCATAGGACAATTTCTCTGTATTTTATCTCATCACATTATATTCCAAAGATATACAATCGTTTGGGGATCATGGATTTGTTTAACAAGAAGATTCGTTTGTTTCTTGCAAGGGGATCTACATTCTGGAGATTGCACAGCTTGTTCTAGACTACATGTTTTTATATAGTAGTCAGAAAATCTTGGCTTGTGACTCTGACTTTACATCCAAGTTTTGGAAGCACCGTTTCTACTGGAAATTTGTATTCACTTTTCTGAAATATATATATTCTCATCTGAAATCTAATGGGTAATTGGAGAAGATAAATTATTTGAACATTATTTTGCTATGTCTTACTTGCAGGACAAACACAAGTTACAAAATTATGGTGGTACTTAAGCCTGGTCCCTGAAGTCACAGCCATTGTGGTGCCCCTGTGGTCACATGATCAACATTCAGTCACTTGGTAGCCCACCGGCACTTATAACAGCAGGGGTGTTTCAACTCTCCCCAGCCTGTTGAACTCCTCCCACTTGGCTCTCCCCCTCCCCCCCATCTCTACCCTTTTGGCCACCCTGCACAGAAGCCTTCTTTAGCAGTGGTGGCAGCACTGGGGTTGAAGTAGATGTCTGGGGACAGCAGTAGGTGAATGAGACTGAAGACGGCGACCTTCTGCTTCAGCTCCGGTGCCATTAATGCTGCCATTGCCACCAAAAAGTGTCACTGTGCTCAGGGCATCCAAAAGGGCAAAAATGGAGGGGGAGAGAGAGAGAGGTGTGTGGGAATTCAAGGGGAGGGCAGTCCCTTATCAAGATTCAGGACTGGGAATAATCAAGCCAAGAATGGCTTGGATCCGGGCTGGTCCTTGCCTAACAACCCCTGAAATTCATTTGATGGCAATGGGGACAGTATTGCTATCACGAAGCAATGTGGTCGTGTGAGGTTTCACTTTAAATAATTTGGTCCCAATTACCATCTTAACCCAAGGACTACCGGTAAACCAAATGGCTGCCTCTTGCAAAATTTGCCTCTAACAAGCCTCTTCCATCTGAAATTCCCACGAAAGCCCCATTCTCAGGAATTGTCTCCAGCATTGCCAGACAATGACTTCCAGAACAGAGATTCTTTGCTTCCTGAAACATTGGGAATAGGGAACAAGAGGGGAGAGGACACTTTTCAACTCCATCTAGTTCAGTGTTTCCCAACCTAGGCATCTGAGATTTACAGATTTTAGCAACCAGAATTTTAGCAATAATAAAATTGTGAAACATTAATATAATTTTCCATACCAGTGTTGTTAAATGGAAAGCTTTTTGTAGCTTTCTCTGCTGAAAAAGAAATGAAGCTTGTCACAGAATCTGCTTTCTGATTATGCAGCCGATTTTCAACATAGAAAAGAAATCTATCTGGGGGGGCATCTTCATAATATCAGTATTTCTAATTTAAATTTAAATACAATTTTTATTCATTTTTGTAATAAAATTTTGTACATAAGTAAATTCATGCATATATTTGAAGGTGTACATGTAGACAGATGGATAAACAATGTTAACGCCTTTATTTTCAGCATCTGTTCAAGAGTATTTTTCAATTTCTTTAATAATTACACGCATTTAATACCTTTTAAAAAATTACTAAGGGTCTCTTGCATGACATCCTTCTGGAATTTGTTTCTAAGTCAGCCTGATGTATGAAGGAGGGTCACTTATTTCATAATCTGTTTCTTTATTTAGTTGTGGAAGTTTTACTGGAGAATTAAAAATTCTGTCCGCTTGATCTATAATGGAAGAATATAATAAACCCGTCACATGTAGAAAAGGCAAACATTTCTTCCATTTTTAATATAATTTAATACTGAAATTCTAAAAAGAAGAAGACCCTACATACCACATGAAAGGCAAACTAATTCTGTAGCTTGTAACTGGTCTTCATTAATTTTTAGATGCTCCTAAGAATAGAATGTGAAAATATTAAAACAGGCTTGCATGTGGATCAAACTGACATCAGAATTTAGCCATAAACTTAGGATTTTATTATATTGCACATCACTTAATAAAAAGTGGTGAACTGTATACCATAATAAAATTAAGATTCAAAATAAAATAGCAACATAGGAATCATTTACAAGCTCTTGCTAATCTTTAAAGATATTAAACATGGTGCCTAATAAAATTATACAAAGACAAGAAATGTTCATGCTAGCACCTGAGTTTTGAATTGTAACAAAGAATCTATTTAGAAGGTTTTCAGGGCAATATTTTATTTGTTCAGGATTTTTAAATATATGTATTTGGTTATGCCCATTGTACTGTTGTATACAATCCTAAAATTAAATAATGATATTGCATATATTTAAACAAACAGAAGCCAATTTTATCTATTGGAATAGACCTAGCTCTGCCAACTCACTTGAGGACTGCAGAAAAGCATGCAACCGTGGGGCTGGATAGCATCTTGAAGGGTCTCCCCCACCTTTTGAACTTATTTATTCCAATGCCCCTTATTGGAATACAATATTTATGTGGGTTTTCTGTTTAACTCTGTGAAATGGGTGATTTCCAAATCTGATATATGAACAAATAAATATATCTAATATCACATATCACCTCATATTTAATTACTTTACAGATAGCATACTGACAAATTCAAAAGAGTATTTTTGAAAACCATTCACATAAATAACTTGGTAGCAAGCTGTGCAAAAGAATTTCTTCCAGAAGAGGCATGTGTAATGAAACAATAAGGAATATTGTCTGAAACATGTACAAAGCTTCTATTTACAGGAAACTGCAATATATCCCATAAAAGGGCACCCTTGGAATTGAATTAGGCCTTTTTAATCAATAAACCTTAACATCAGAATTGTTATTTTTTTCTAAATTTAAGTAACACATGAAAATGTATCTAGCACACACAGAGGAAAAATAAATCTCTTTTTATATATGTATTATCTATTGTTTGGAAAGGTCACAATAATTTATAGAGGATATAAGCTTTCTCCATCTAGGGCAGACATGTCAAACTCGTGACGTCACGTGACATCACACAACATATCGGAACTTTTTCACCATTGCTGGCAATGGGATGGGCGTGGTTTCCCAATGACGCATCCAGCCCGCGGGCCGGCAGTTTGACACCCCTGATCTAGGGACTGATTGAAAACTACAGTTGTTTAATTTGAACGATGCTACAATGTGATGCATTCATGACTGAACACAGCCTCCTTAATGATGTTGCTACTTACAAGTCCAGTGATACTGTCATAGCACGAACAACATGGAAGACTTCGGCAGCTGACATACACAATCACCAGCACAATAAATATACTAAAAATTGATGAAATCATCATTGTGATGTTAGCTCCTTGAACCAGTTTACCCAGCACAACTACCTGCAGCTCAAAATACAGAAAATTCACATGCATGTTTTATCAAAATAAAAGAAAAAAACACAAGTACTGTAGATAGGTTTCTCACCACTCTGGAGAAGATTTAGGAATGCATGGGAGAGGAGGAATCTCCTCTTTTCACACTGATGCTGTGAAAGCTACAGAATGATTGAAATGGATGTATCCAAAATTCTTAGATGCTTTTTTTTCTAATACTGTATAGTAAAGGTATTACAGGTTTTCAAGTAAGGGATGGAATGTTTGAATTGCATTCCAGTTATAAGTCATGTCACTTGTTAAGCGGGACACCAAATGACCACATCCGATTTTACAATCTGTTTTATAGTGCTTAAGTGAACACTGCTGTCATTAACCAAACCTATTGTCCACAATGGGCATTTTTTGCTGGAAACTGGAACTGAACTCTGATTTCAGCAAAAATGTACATTGCTTCATGTAACCCCAGGATGCTGCAAACTGTTGTAAATGTGGGCCAGTTACTGTGTGCCAAAATGTGATCACATGATTGTGGGAGAAGTGACTGGCCATCAGAATTTCAAATTCAGGTCATAAGTAGTCCTGAGAAAGTCCATCGTAACTTTGAATTGTCACAAAGTGACTGGGCATAAGTCAAAGGTAAGCTGTACATCAATGCATTGCTTTTGGTTGTACTCCATGTGCCTGAATTCTCAGAATTCATATCTATCCTGTAAGCTTTACATTTAATTCTGTCTAGATCCCTCTTGATGGATGAGGCAATTAGATGCAGCTTTTTTCTTATTTCTTATGCAATTAATAGTAGCAAGTGGAGAAAATCACGTTATAACTACAAGTAGTCCTCAACCAATGACTTTAATTAAGCCCTGAATTACAGTCATAGGTCATGCTGGTCATTAAACAGGTCATCATGTGACCACACCTGATTTTATGATTTTTTTTGTGGTGATCGTTAAGCAAATCCATTGTCCATTAGAAATCAGAAATATATATCAGTTTCCAGCAAAAAGTGTTGTAAAACATAGTCATTTGACCACAGGGTCTGCAAGCAACCATAAATGCAATCAGATGACTGGGGCAGCATCAGTCAGAACTTAAAAATCTGGGTCATAAGTAGCCCTGGGGAAGTCCATTGTAACTTTGAACAGTCATTAAGTGACTAGTCATAAGTTAAAGAGTACCTGTAACTCTATACCAGGGATCCTCAACCTTGGCAACTTTAAGCTTTGCTGGCTGAGGAATTCTGGGAGTTGAAGTCCACAAGTCTTAAAGTTGCCAAGGTTGAGGACCCCTGCTCTATACCATTTGGTAGCATAACATAATGCTAATATTTGGATTTGCATTGTAAACCTCAAGAGTCCAAACGAATGCTTTCCAAATAGGTTGGATTTCATTGTTTATCATGCACTAGCTGTGCATTATAGGACCTGTAGTTTAAATAATCTAAAGGACATACTGAACACAAAATATGCTACTTACGATAGCTGAGTGGTTAGAGGACCACTCATATTTTTCACCATACTCTAATGTCATAGAGGCATAAAGTATTACAATTGAAGTGGTGAAACAGGAAAATACTGAAGTGATTATCATGGCATTCACCTGTATAAGGAATACAGAAAACCTAAGATTTAATTTAATTTATTTATTTTCCGCAAGGAAGACAAAATGTAGATCTTCACACTGTAACTGAATATCTCAGTATGAATCAATGTATTTGATTCTATGTGAAAGTGCACAAAGGAAACAAATCTAAAGTTGTTTAAGGAATGTTAACCACTAAACCACTTACTAAAAATAAATGTTAAATGGCTTTTCATCCAGTCCTAGGGGGAGGGAGAGGGAGACCCTTTGCTTCATTGTGTGTGGCATTTTTTATCTTTGTCTTTTACATTTTATTGATTTGATTGTAATATCTTTGACTGTTGAATCGTTAAGAATTGGCTAGCATACAAGTTTAATAAATTATTATTATTATTATTATTATTATTATTATTATTATTATTATTATTATTAAATTATAACAAATTCATTGTGTTTTGAAATCTGCTCTTAAACAATAACAAAATAACAACACTAGGAACTCACCAGAATGGGATTCTTCCTCTGAGTTGAATTTAAAGCCATAATTCCAGGAATGCTCATAAACTAAAACACAGAAAGCATAGGGACAGGATAAGAGACATAGCAAAACAATAATAATGTAAAAATGTATTATGGTTAAATTTAATACACACAAAAGTAAATCTTTAGTTGCCCAAAAATATAGTTAGCCAGAGACATACTTTATGAGCTATTATACAGTGATGAAAAGTCCTAATTTTTTTACTTAGCCCCTCAAAAGTTCTTTTTCACCCATGGAGCCTACTTTATCAGCAAAGGCAATGACAGATAATTTCCATATTTAGAATTATTATAGAATTAGCCCTCTTGGCTGATTGGAGTAGTAATTCCATGGATAGAGGTCCCAGCATCTTGCTGCCCTTGTTTGGACACAGAAGTTAAGAGGGGTCATGTCTGGTTAGTAACTAAACTAGTGGATCAGCAAAATGATGTGGACATAGTATACTTAGTTTTCAGTAAGGCATTTGATAAAGTAGACCACAACCTACTCCTTGGTAAGCTAGAAAAAGGTGGAATAAACTACATCACCACTAGATGGATCTGTAGCTGGCTGGCAAACCGTACTCAACAAGTAGTCCTCAATGGTATTACATCCACATGGAGAGAAATAAGCAGCGAGGTACCATAAGATTCCGTCTTAGGCCCAGTACTCTTCAATATCTTCATAAATTACTTAGATGAGGGAATTGAAGGGGAACTCATCAAATTTGCAGATGACACCAAACTGGCAGGAGTAGCCAACACCCCAGAAGACAAACTCAGGATACAAAAAGATCTTGACAAACTTGAACAATGGGCCCTATCCAACAAAATGAGTTTCAATGTGGAGAAAAGCAAAGTTTTACATTTAGGCAGGAAAAATCAAAGGTACAAATACAGATTGGGCGAGATCTGGCTTAAAAACAGTAACTGTGAGAGGGACCTTGGAGTCTTAGACCTAGTGGACAATCACTTGATTATTAAAGCTAATACAATCCTGGGTTGTATAAACAGGCATAGAATCAAGATCACATGAAGTATTAGTACCGCTTTATAAAACCCTAGTAAGACCACACCTGGAATACTGCAGCCAATTTTGGTCACCATATCACAAAAAAGATGTTGAGAGTTTGGAAAAAAATCAGAGAAGAGCAACTAAGATGATTAAAGGCCTGGAGACTAAAGCATATGAAGAACGGCTGCAGGACTTGGGTTTAAAGAAAGAAAAGAAAAGAAGAAATAGGGAAGACATGATAGCAGTATTCCAGTATTTGAGGGGCTGCCACCAAGAAGAGGGGGTCACGTTATTCACCAAAGCACCAGAGGGCAAGACAAGAAACAATGGTTGGAAACTGATCAAAGAGAGAAGCAACCTGGAATTAAGGAGAAATTTCCTGACAGTGAGGACAATTAACCAGTGGAACAGCTTGCCTCCTGAAATCGTGGGCGCTCCATCACTGGAGATTTTTAAGAAGAGGCTAGATAGTCACTTGTCTGAGATGGTATAGATCCTGCTGCTTGAGCAGGGGGCTGGACTAGAAGACCTGCAAGGTCCCTTCCAGCTCTATTCTACTCTTAGTAATCTGGTTGAATGGGACTGCTTCAAGATAGATTGGAAATTGAGGGGAGGGGAATCTATGGAAGAAGCTAACAAAAAAAATCATTTCCATATTGTTGCCAAGAAAACGTCATGGCCATGTAAATGAATAGAAGTCAAAGATTGATTCAAAAGAAACTTTAGCTTTATATATAAGATACTATTGTTAAAAATCAGATACTATGATGAATTGCAGTAAACTTTATTAATCTCCTGTCCTAATTTTAAGCTGCTCTTTGACATTTAAGGAGCTGTGGTAAATGATAAGCTAAATGGAGTCAGGGAAATACCTTAAGATCACAAACTAGGACAGAGGGAGGCAGTAAACTCAAATACAAATACCCACAAATCAATTCTCATTCAGGATAAATGCTATTCAATTGAATTAAATTCTCTTTGCTGACACCAAGAAATAATACTATTTTCTAATGCCCATTCAGAGCTCATTTTTCATATAGGACTCAGAAATCAAAACTAGGAAGTTATTTAAATGAGCAATTCCAACAGCTGAAATGTGGCAGACACCACACTCCACAATAGCTGCCAGAGTTTTGCTAATAGGGGACAGTTTGGATAGTTTTAAAACAGGGGTCTTCAAAGTTGGCCCTTTTATGACTTGTGGACTTCAATTCCCAGAATTCCTCAGTCAGCGTGCCTGGCTGAGGAATTCTGGGAGTTGAAGTCCACAAGTCATAAAAGGGCCAAGTTTGAAGACTTCTGTTTTAAAAGGATCTTGAATAGGTTCATGGAGGATCAGATTGTCATTAGCTACTATTTTTTTATTGCTGTTTACCCTCCTGCATCATAAGCAAAATGTTATAATTGTTGGAAAGCAGTAGTGGAAGGGATCATTCACAGTCCTGTGCAAGCTCCCCAGATGCATTCAAAGGGCCATTCTGTGACACAAAATTCAGGACTAGATGGCCCTAGAACTGGATTCAGTAGAGCTTTTCACACATGTTCTTTTCTTTAATCAATTACTTATAAAGGCACATATTAGATGTGAATTCAGTAATCTAGGCAGCAAGGTTATTGAGGAGAGATGTTTGTATAAGCAGTGCTTTTTTTCTAAAAAAAAAAAAAAAAAAGGTACCGGAACTCACACATGTCATACAACCCGCCTTGCCTACCCTACAAGGTTCCATGCAAAAAAGGTACCGGAACTCCATTCTGGGCATTCTATAACAAAAAAAGCCCTGGGTATAAGCATCCAGTATTGAGAAACATCAGAAATCCCAGAGTCCCACTTGGCAAGATCTGTATTATATAAAAAAATCTCTACAAATCAACAAGCACATTTTGGAGCCTAGAAAGCAACAACCTGCCACTCTAAAGCAAGTGGAAAATTTTTGACTGAATCTTTCTTCTTTATACTCATCACCATGAAACGCTATGTACTGTACTTAGTTATACTTCTTACTATCAAATCTAGATCTTATTTGCTTGAATGTGAAGTAAGAAACAGCAACTTCCCTGGAAATAACAATACATTCTTAATAAATTCTGGAAAGAAGGATAGAAAATGTAGCTTACCACTCCAGCCCAAATGGGTATCTTAGATTTACTCAATGCTGATTCCTTTCTGACAACATCATCTATTAATCCACTGATGACACAAACTGTGGCACAAGCTATCTGAAATAGCCCTAATATCAGCATGCTTCTCTGGTTGAAGATGAAATATCTGTAGCGATCCATTCCACTGTATACAAATACACACATATATTCAAGTCAAAAGAAGCACAGAGATTATTGAAAATAAGGCAGCCCCATAATAGGTCCTGAATGGAAGATGCTTGCAAAAAATGTCCATTAACATTTCTTCAAACTTTAGGTGACACACTGATATTTTTAAAGTGAACAAGCTGAATTATCTTATACAAAAGCAAAACAAAAATTGAGCAATTTTGTCAAATTTCTTTGAATTTTATTGTGCATGATTCTATTCTTCACATATTTTTCTTTAAAAAAATGTTTGCAATTATTATCAAGTCACATGGTTTGAAATGGGCTGAAATTGTCTTCTCACTTCCTTTTAAAAAGCTAGGCTTCAGATTTTTTTTTTTATTACAGGTTGTTGTCACTGAACAACAGTAATTGGGGCCAGAATTTCCATTACTAAACAATGCAATCATAAAGTGCAATATCATGTGATTGCATTACTTAGTGGTGGCAATTCTGGAAGTTAACATTGCTATTGTTAAATGAAGACCATGGGTCATTAAACAAGGGCCTCATGTGACCATAATTTGTGACTTTCTTTCAGTTTTCAATGAGCAAATCAGTGGGGAAGCCGGCAGGAAGTTGCAAGCTCTGGTTATCGCAAAACTTTTCTTACTGGTAGGTAGTTTGCAAGCAGGCCAGCAGACTGATGAGTCTACAGAATGCAGGCATGCAGGGGGCAGATGCTGCAGTGTGATACAGAATTAATGCAGTTGAGCACTGAAGGGGTACTACAGCCCAGCACTTTCCCAGGCTGAGGATCCTGGATCTACATTCTCACAGTCCATATCTCATCAGCATTCTATTGTGTTCTAGACCAGAACTTTTCAACCTGTGGTACTTTGGCACATGGTAGGTGGTACGCAACCATCCTACAGAAGTATAGCAGGGGAGGGGAATGAGCCGAAGCAACCCAAGCCTGAGGGAGAGGCAGCTGGAGCTGCAGTACTGTCGGGGCTTGGCAGAAACCCCAGGAGTGCCTGCAGGGCTCCAGTTGATTGGCTCCAGCTGATTGGCACTTCTGGAAGCAGCGCGGAGCTGGAGGTGAACTGAAGAAAAAGGGGCGGAGGAGAGGATATAAAAGGAGGTGGTTTTGGTGGGAAAGGGGGGAAAAAAGACAACAGGGAAAGAGAAGGGGATGGAGAAGAAACTGTGGAAGGAGAGCTCGGCAGGCAGGGAGGAAACAGGGACTGGGAAGAAGCAGCAGCTATTGCTGAAAGAAAAGGTCCCCTGGTTTGTTTTCTCCAGCCAGGAGAATGCAATCAGCGCTGATGAAATGAAAAGCCGGGAGACAAGCATGTCGGAAAGGAGGAGGTGGGCTTATTTTGGAAGCCAGTGGTTTCCTGAATAGATTACCATAAGGATTTTTATATAGTTTTTACAGCGTTTTGTAATTCAGAGGCTCGATTTGTGTGCTTTGTTATTGGAATATTTTAGTCTGTTTCACAAAGGCTAGCAATGAGTCCAAAGTGTTGGCTTCCATAGGTTTAATTCCTTTAAACAAATGTAATTAGTTTTACCCCCTTATCTTGAGTCTGTCTATGGCTTTAGCAAGTTTTCTTTGTAGGTAAACAGGCTTAATTTAAAGTTATCATGTTTTGCAATTGTCGAGCCTTTACTACATTGTTTAAACTGAGACACGTCTGAGACAGCTTAAAGAAAAAAAAAACTGGAGTTTAGTGTTTCTTTATTCTCTTTTGTGAGCCTTTCTTGCTTTGCGCTTGATTCCTGTGTCTTTAAGGGTACAGGGAAGGGCCTGGGGGAGGTGCATTCTTATTACACTGTGGAAGGAGAGCTCAGAAGGCAGAGAGGAAGAAGAGGAGAGGGAGAGAGGAAGAAGGGCCGATCAGCTAGCTCAGGGGTCTACAAACTTAGAAACTTTAAGACCTGTGGACTTCAACTCTCAGAATTCCTCAACCAGCCATGAAGGCTGAGGAAATCTGGGAGTTGAAGTCCACAAGTCTTAAAAGTGCTAAGTTTGAAGACCCCTGAGATAGCTGGTAGTGGTGCATATTAATAAACATGGATAAATTCATCATACATTTATCAGTGCAAAGGGAAAGTGATTTAGCAAAGGAACAGCCACCGAAGAAATTAAAACCAGTACTTTTTTACTTTTTTCTACAGTTTGTAATATTTTATTAGATTATAGAATAAAATACAAAAATACAAAAGCAAATAGTAGGATGCAGTGGGGAGGAAAAAGGGGGGAAAAGTGAGGGGGAAAAGGGAAAAAGAACATACTTCCTCTGTTGCAGTAGAAGGAAGCATTAACATTGAACCTCAACTTTTTACTTTTCCATAATATTATAAACTAGCCATTTCAATAACAACAAATGAATCTAATCAGTAAAACCCAAAATCCCCCCCTTTTTAGTCATCAAGTTTTTGACACCTTGCTAAGCACTCGTGGTACTCAAATATTGTCATGTCTTAAAAGTGATACAATCTGTGAAAAGGTTGAAAAGCCCTGTTCTAGATTGTTGCACTTATGGGAAATCAAGGAAATCAATTCCATATAGCCCAGAGATTCCTTATCAATGAGATAGGCAGCATATAAATTTAATTAGTTAATTATGAATAGGATTGCACCAAACCATGTTGCATCATTAATGGAATATTATCATTATCATAAATTTATGCCCATAGAGCATTCAACAATTTCTCATTACTTGGGTAAGTGGTGATCTACAACCATGATTGAAACCAAGTAACCATATACAGGAAAGAAAAGTGGCTGTGGCCCAAAATATCAGGAATTACAGGTTCTGTAAAGGGCATTAGTAACGGGAGATTATGGATCCAATACAGCAATGAATACAACTTTTCTGGTCTAAGAGTCAAATGTAACTGGAATTCTTTTATTTGTCATGTTCAGCTTCCTTCCATAAAAGAGAAACTCTGTGAAATCCAGCCCTGCTAAAAAGAATTGAACGAGCTGCTGAGGTATTGCATGTTATTTCAGCTCATGTCACTGTTTTATTAATGTTATGATACTGATAGGTTTCTTGAACTGCAGACAGTCCTCGACTTACACCCATAATTGGGATCAGAATTTCCATTGCCAACTAGGGCAATTATTGTGTTGTGCCCAATTTTATGACCTTTTTTTATCATGGTTGTTAAGTCAACCCAGTTTTCCCCATCGACTTTGTTTGTTATGGAATGGCAACCCTGTAAACCCAGGATACTGCATCTATTGTAAATGCACATTGGTTGCCAAACATCCATATTTTGGTCACATGACTGTGAGGATGCTGCACCGGTCATAAGTGCAAAGGCTGGTTATAAGTGCCGTTTTTCAGTGCTTTTGTAATTTTAAACAGTTGCTAAACAAATGGTTGTAAGTTAAGAAATACCCGTACTATAAACTGAGGACATAGAGCTGTAGGAAGGAATGATTTGGACAAAACCAGTATCATGGAAGCAAGGACTAGAATTCAAATGTTTAAGTGATACTGGTAATGCTGTGAATCAACAATAGTGAAATATCTCAAAGTAGTCAGATAATTCTTCTCCTGTCAGCCCTGGATCATTTTCTGAAAGAATTTGGGAAGGTTAAAATAACCAGTAATCAGAAGCTCTGCAGAAGATCAAACCAAAGCATGTGAGACAGAAAGGCAAAAGATTTTAAAGCTGGAAAAGCAGAGAAAGATACTTTCCATCTCTCAAGCACATATTTGCTTTGTTATAGACAATATTCAGTATTGAGCTCACCTTCGAACGCTCTTCTCTCTTCCACTGTGCCAACAAAGAAAAGGAGCCATTACAGGAAGTTGGGGAAAAACAGGCACAAAGCCTTTGCACCTCCTGCCAAAGCAAAAGAGAAACTCAGCTAAACCCTATGGGTGGGAGCAAGGTGTGTGTGCTCAGCATTGCCTTACCTCAGCTAGGTTTAAGCTCCTTACTCAAAAAAAGCTTGAGAAGTTCACCAGCCTGGGTCAGCAGCTACAGTCTGGTGGGAATGACTTGGTCATCCAGGGACTCTCTCTGGCTGCCAAGCCCCACTCTTTCCTTCCTGCAATCAGAATAAAATCTTGCTCCACCCACATAACGCATTTACCTGCCCTTCCCTTTTGCAGGTAGTACTTTTTATTGTGGCCTTTCCTTCCATCTCTGAATTTAACCCATTGCATACAATAAAAAATGCATTTCCTTTAGAGGTTTGGAGTTTAATCTGTTAAGAAGTATTTAGTAACTCTGCATCCTCCCAGTATACAGCTATTTAACTAGACAAAAACAATTGCTGAGTGAACAGCTACCAGGACTTCCCATGAAGAATTTATTCTCATATTTTGCATGTGAAGAAGAGACATAGTCTTCCTGATTCTTGTGCCATCTGGGTAACTTGATGTACAACTCCCAATATCCTAAGCAGCTTAACTATTGTAGTGATAAAGGTTAATGCAATCTGTGCTCTAAAACTTATTTTATGACACAAGACTCCCCAGCTCTGATGTAAAATAACATGTGGGGAAACAGGGTTTATCACATCTTAATATTTCAGCTCTACATTTTAAATGACTCAGCAAGAAATACTTTTTTCTCATTTGGCGCAAATTGCTTGTACTGCAATGTTTCCAGTCAGAGTTCAAATGTAGAATCTTGTCCTGAGGCAACATCTGTGCAGGAGATTGGCCTTTGGAAATGTACTGTTCCGTGTAAACATAACAAGCAGGGAGAAAAAGGTGCAGAAATACAAATGAGAGGTAATTTGCACGTCATCCTCTACTTTGTAAAGATGAATACGTTTATATGTTCTTCCACAATAGAGAGGGAAATAATTGTTTAGAAAGTTGTTATGGGAGTTCTAAAGCCCTGAAGATTGAAACTGGCAGTGTGAGCTCTTCTTTGAATCAAGAGTAGAGAAAATACAGGTAGTCCTCAACTTACAACCACAATTGATTCCAAACTTTCTGTTGCTAACATTTGTTAAGTGAGTTTTGCCCCATTTTACAACCTTTCTTACCCTGGTTGTTAAGTGAATCACTGCAGTTGTTCAGTTAGTAACTCAGTTGTTAAGTGAATCTGACTTCCCCGTTGACTTCACTTATGAGAAGGTTTCAAAAGAGGATCACATGACCCCAGGACACTATGACTGTCATAAATATGAGTCAGTTGCCAAGCATCTGAATTTTGATCACATGACCCTGGGGCTGCTGCAGTGGTCATAAGTGTAAAGAAAGGGGCATGAATCACTTTGTTCAGTGCCATTGTAACTTTGAACAGTCACTAAACTAATTGTGGTAAGTCAAGGACTACCTGTATATCTGTGTTCTGAAAAAGAAACTTGGAGACTGGTAGCAGCAGGAGCCACTTTCTGGAAATGGCTATAAATGGAGGAAGGTCTATCCTCAACTACTCTATGCAGGGTGCAATGTGGTTATTCTTTGAGAATGTACAAATATGGGTATAGAACCATGATGAAGTTAAAGCTAAGTCTTAACCACGGTCTGTGGCCACAACCTGTTGTTGGCTTACTAGCTTTAGTTTCCCATAGCATATAAACTGGAAACAGAGGTAAGAGATGGGGGGAGGGACAGTAGCACCTTTGCTTCTGCAGTTTGCTCCTGAATGTATGCAAGATATTCCTTTCAGAAATTGGGGGGCCGGAAGAGTTCTTGGCCTCCCTACCACTTGCTCCATATAGTGGTTCCAATCATATTAAATTCACCTGCATATGAAGATCTTTTCCATCAAAAAAGATAAAAGACTAGAAAGCTGCTCCCTGAGTAGTATGTCACACACCCCGGGAATCTTCTGCAACATTGTTTGGGATGATCTGACAGGGGGGATAACCTTTCCAACCCTATGATTTGAAGAATTCATGATGAGTAAATTTCTAACTCTGTGCAAGTGTCAGCTATGCTAAGATTCACTATATGTAGGTATTGAGGGGGGGGGGATTTTGCTGAACTTGTGCTGTCTCTAATATCATTTGATAGAGTTTATGATTAAGATTGATTTTAACAACAGTTTTGTTGATTGTTTGGAGATTCCAGAGATAGAACTCTATGCAGGCAGAGATTAGATAATTAAGTTGTTGTTGTTGTTGCGAAGTCATGTCTGACCCATTGCGACCCCATGGACAACGTTCCTCCAGGCCTTCCTATCCTCTACCATCTTCTGGAGTCCATTTAAGCTCACGCCTACTGCTTCAGTGACTCCATCCAGCCACCTCATTCTCTGTCGTCCCCTTCTTCTATTGCCTTCAATCTTTCCCAAAAAGGGCTGGATTTGGATCCTATAAGCACTCTTCATCTCACTAAATTATGAGACCAATGATATTTCAGCTGTCTGTTGTTTATGCTGTATCCCTACTTCCGCTGCTTAGACTGTATGTTTGCAAACAAATGCTCATATTATCCATCACCAATAAACACTCCATGATTAACCTCCTAAAGAAATGAAACCAAAGCAGCAAACATATAGGGCTCATGGAAGTTTGAAGTTCTCATCGTTTGGAGAAAACAGAACTTAATGGTCAGTTGATCACAACTAGCAGCACAGAAGACAACTTGACATATTTTTTATATCAGCCAGATTTGGGTGACAGAAATGTATTTTAATTTATAAATTCTGCAATATTTAGCATCTATCTAATTATCACTTTTCCCACTATGGAATTAACCAAAATTTGATTCTAACCTTGTAAAGCTAGGCTTAAACAGTTTGTCTGAAGATAGAAAGAAAAGCATCTGGTTGCCTATCATAATAAATCTCATAAATTAAATTCCATTAAAAAAGACATGTTTTAATGTTGAAAGGAAAATCTAAGGGATTAGACAAAGAAGGGTCATGATAAATTGATATTGCAATTATATTGCACTATAATCATATACATTCACCATAGCATGAATGCATTTGAGTCTACTTTTTCAGCATCATAGTTAACTTATCATCTATTTCCCCCACTATGTAGGTCAAGATAAATATTTTCATAGAGATACATCTTATATTGTAACTGCACTAAATTAATAATTCTTCTTGGGTTGGTCCAGAAATTGAAGATTCTCTGTATGTATTCTTGAATTATTTTGCTCAAAATAATGTTTAATAACACACAACTAAATTTTAAAATATTGATAAAGGGCAGAAAACTAATACAAAATAATACAATAAGATACATATTGAAATGGAGATTAAAACGCCATGAAAAATCTGCCCTTTTTTTTTGCTTTCCATCAATGTCCACGTTTGGCCAGATGTAAACCAAGTTATCAATTTAACACTTACTATCATAGATAATGTAAGAAATGGGAAAAAATTGTGTCACAACAATTCATATAATACTTTATTTTCACAATGCAGGATAAAGCAATTTTCCCTCAGAGACATTTTTATGTTTTCTTTCACAATGTGTTCAGTGTGTTCAGTGTATAGTAAACAAAGTCTATAAATAAAGTACAATTATTTTTTCTTTTACCTAGAAATCATAAGTAATACCTATGGATGTAATTAAGGCTCTTCACCTTAATAAAGTAGTTGTTTTAGGTCACTGAGTAATATTTAATATATTATTGAAAGTTTTGTAAATACACAGACCTAACCCAACACAAAACAAATCATTCCACTAGGCTAAGATTTTTTTCTAACTCAAGGAAGTAGATTTCTGCAAGAAGCTTACATAAGTTACAATAGAGAAGTTCCACAGAAAGTTCAAAGAGAAAAAAAAAAGCAGTAGAGAGAATGCAAATTAAAAAAAAAATCTAATCAGGTTTTTGAGGGGTGTTTGGTGCTCTCTGAGTTCGGTTGTTTTCTTGCAGACATTTCATTACCCAAACTAGGTAACTTTATTATTGGTGAGCTGATGTGCACTGATGATGTTACCTAGTTTGGGTAATGAAACATCTTCAAGAAAACGATGTTCAGAGATTACCAAGGACCCCTCATTTCAACCCTAAGCTACAAATATTCTCCTTTATCAGTCAGATTTTTAATTGAAACATATGCCCATTTTATTAAATATTCAGTTAAAATATGGAGTCCCTCTGAACTGATGAGACTTCCCTGTGACAATTATGTAAAGCAGGAGTTTGTTTCTAGATGAAAGGTAAGTATTTCAATATTGAATATGCAAGTGTTCTGGATATAATTGTATAGTTTGAAACTTTAAAAAATGGTAGTTCCCCCATTAAAACTGAATGAAGATAGGGTACCTTTACTTCAATAGATGCAAATTTTATGCAAATAAGCTCACAATGCATCAGATTTACCATCTGTTGGCTTCCTTATTTTTGATACTTAGTACCTAGGATTTCTAGTTAGCATCACTAGCTAAGCTGGGCATTTTGAACAAATGAAAATGGCTACAGGTTTGGGAAAATTCAACTGCAAATAACTTCTGTTGAACTCAGTAGTAGTAGTAGATAGAGGAGTATACACTAAATAATTTTGATCACTATAAATCACTGCAGGGACTATGTGAATTAGAATATAATGAACATGTTGAAATCTAAATTAGAATATAATGTACAATGGCAAATATCTAAAATAAAAAGTGAAACCATTTTAATGTATTCCAAAAGTGTTAACCACAAAGTGTTTTAAAAATGACAAATCCATTTCACTACCATCCTTTTTAGTTTAAAGGTTCACAGCATACAGTAATTGTGATTGCTTGTCAGGATTGGGTTTGATTCTGCACCCCTTGCAAGCACACAGCATAAGCATGACAAAACAATGTCTACATGTTATCATTCATGAAGGTAGTGATCCCATGAATCAGTTTTCAAATACTTCTCAATTCATGGACAGTAACTATATTTGTCAACAATCCCCAATAGTTGCTGTCTTGTGCCAATTTTAAATCGTCTATGGATGGCAAATGTTGGGCATGCACTTTCTGGGTTAATTGCTTGGCTTCATCAGTATTATAAGATTGCTTTTAGGATATGAAACAATGTTATGGAACAATAAAGAAGTCTTTGCTGCAGACTGAACTCTGTGGATATCAAGGTGATGTTATCAATGTCCATTTAAAATGTCCATTATTCTCTTGATGTAGAAATGAAATGCAGTTTTGTAAAAAAAAAAAGTTAGTAAAACTTCCCTTCAGATAAACATATAAAGGACTGAATTCTTAATAATAAACTCTAAATTTAGCATTCTTGAATTGCATCTGGAAACACACTGACAACTAACACAGCTCACGAAGCAATGGTGTTATATGTGTCCAATATCAGATACCATTTACCACTTGTGCAGCTGCATGCTCCACCAGTTGAAGTTTCCAAGTGCTCTTCAAAGGGAGTCCCATGTAGAGTAATCCAGATAAGAGGAGGTCACAAAAGCACGAATGACTGTCAGCACCCAAAGTGTGCAAAGGGCCTACTAGTCAGAGCTGCCACAGGCAGGAGCCAAGAGTCCAAGAAGCGTGAGTATGCACTGAGTCTCTTTAGGACAATGCCACCTCATCGATGTAATGGTATGTGGGATAAAGGAAGAGATGCATCCTAAATCAAATAACAAATCTATTTCTACTGCCAACCCAAATCTTATGACCCATATTTCTCTCTGCGCTTAAATACAGGTGTTACAGATTTTTCCCTTGGTAAATAAAATGTTTAGGAACCTTTTTCTTTACATTTTTACATGACCAGTTTCTATTTGTCTTCTACTCTATGCAGTATCCTAGATTTAAATCCTTATGAAATTGCAGTATGTAGGTTCTAGCTTTGTTACTTACAATAAAATAGTAGTTTATTACTGTTACGCTAATTTATAATCTGAACAATAGTTCAAAATTGATACATAAATTACATAAACTATTTTGGCAATAAAATGGCTCTTTTTAAGCTAAAAATTAAAATGTGCATGGTATAAAGACTGTAATTAGGGACTACAGTATTACATATTTAAAACAGTGAAATAAGCAAATCAGTTTCATCAACAGAATCACCAGTCTGTTGATAAGGATCATATTCAAAGTCCTTTTTCTGCATAAGAAACTAGCAATGCAACCCTCCACATTTAACGAAGGTCCCACTGAGTTCAGTGGTATTTATTTTAAAATAAATAAGCACATTGCAAATAGGCATTTCTACTTGTATAATACAGAGCAAATATTCTGCAAGTATATATTGCACATATTTGAAAATCTGTTTAAGAAATGCCAGTAACTGGCTTCCAGACCCCTGAAAGTTTACTATTTTTGTCACAATATTATTAAATGTTAGTTAGGATTAGTAAAATGTGCTTTCATGATGCCCATAAAACTATTTGACAATCGTAAGTATAATTCGCTTGATAGTAAAAAAAATTAGTTTTCCATTTAACTCTCTGAATTACTCTGCAGGTTTTTTTTTTAAAAAAAGGTTTGCAATGTCGGATTTCTCTAGCTACTTTCCTAGCTCTACAGAAATCTGTCTTTGATGAGTATCGGTAGCTCCCAGGATTCTGCAAGTTACCAATTAAAGGCAAGAAAAAGACAGATAAATTTAGCAAACAAGGAATTTCTTGGTATATCCTTGATTCATTTGTTCTATACGAACTGACATTATGCTCTCCAGTGTAAGAAACCAAAAACAAGCAGTAGAAAAAGCTCATATGCACAAGTAGAATTCACTCAAATGTGATTATCATGATTAAAATTATAGCAGCTCTGGTCTTTCAGGCACATTTATTTTATCCTCAGAGCCTTAAAAAACCGATACGTAACAATTAATTTAAACTTTTGTGCTGACTTCAAGAAGATAATGTAAAGAGAGGTCTGTTGTGCACCAAAACAGAAAAGGCCCTAAAGCAGTATTCTGAAATTATACTGCTTTTCTAGAACACTAAACTTAGCACAATTCTATTATCATCACAATATGGCAAATACAAAATGTAGTTGCACAGAATCAGAGAAACCAAGGTACAGATAAAAACTTGGTTTTAAAAATGCTCTCTTTCTATATTTTGACAGTTGCTGATGCAGATTACAGTAGTTGCCAAAAAAAAAAAAAGCCACACTTCCTTGGGTAGCATATTAAATAATTCATTTAGCACTATTAGCTAAAATGTAAAGATTATTTTAAAGGAGTGGCTAAAAGATATTAGTCTGCAAGGAACAAAAACAAAAAAGGCTCCCACTCTTTCTAATAGAGGGGAAAGTATTGAAGAATCACAGCATGATCAACCACTGGCTCTCCCGATTCCAGCATCAAAGATAGTGCATAGATTCAATGTACTGAACAGGGAAACTGCTTGCATTTCATTTTTTCAAGGAAGCTTGGAAGGCTCTTAGTTCTGCCAGATACCACTCTGGTGCTTCTGGCCCGTTTTGTCCAGTGGAACTGTCATCATAGCCATAAGCCACTGTTAGTTCTTCATCCTTCTCCACTGCTTGAATTGTGCGAATACATTTAATCAGTCCAAAGCGAGGGTGAACAAACCTAGACAATAAGCAGGCATACAGATTCAGTAAAACAAGATGAAAAATGCAAGTTATTAATTTCTACATGTGAAACAATAATCACTATGGTATTACATTTACTTTAAGATCTTTTATTCTTACCCACAAGAAATAGGACTAAATCTTATTGTGGGGAAAATAGGAGGAAGGCGTGTTGGATATGTTCACCACTTCAAGTTATGTGTAAAAATAATAAAGGAAGGATACAAATAAGTAACTAAATACAATAAAAATACTTACTCTAGCGTAGATTTTTGGGTTTTATTTAAAATAAGATTTCTATGGCTAATTATACCTTGTTTTTAAAAGTCTACCCCATTCCAATGGAAACTTTTATTCAAGAGCTGCAAAAGTTGCAAACTCCCTCAGATACAAGTAACTCAGTTCAAGTGCAATTAACTTATTTGAGTTTAGCATAAATTTCTTTGTGTGTTGTGCTATATAACAACACATTTGCAATGCTAGAATACCCATAATATTTTTGAGATATCAACCATATAAAAATAATATGTAAAACTAATAGAGGGCCAGGATTAATGCTTGTGTTTCATTTAAAGGTGTCTATTATATCAAGCTGGCACTTTTTTCCCAGAAATGTTTTCCTTAGTTCCATTTTTAACTGAGGCAATTTGTCATGTATATGATTTAGTGTTTGTCCTTACACGTACACATGCACACACATACAGTCACAAAATCAGTGCATTACTGTGTATAATTGTAATAGTTCAAGTCACAAGCAGAAGTTAAATACTTACGAGTCATAAACAGAATTTGGAGTGAATGAGTGGTTTGCCTTGTGCCCCAAAGAGGCACAGTATTTGGTTACATGGCTGTAAGGTTCTGGTACATCTATGACTGTTTCATCATCAAGGGATATCGTATTTCCATTCAAAGACCAGTCCCTGCTGTCCACCTGGCATTGAAAATAATATTGCTATGACAAATATTTATTTTTATCAAGTCAAAAAACTAACCAAAGAGAGAAGCAACCTAGAACTAAGGAGAAACTTCCTGACAGTTAGAACAATTAACCAGTGGAACAACCTGCCTCCAGAAGGAGTGAATGTGCCAACACTGGAAGTTTTTAAGAAGAAACTGGACAGCCATTTGTCCGAAATGGTATAGGGTTTCCTGCCTGAGCAGGGGTTGGACTAGATGACCTCCAAGGTCCCTTCCAACTTTATCATAATTATTATTATTAGATAACATGCATTTTTTTTGAGTTAGAAAGAACCAGATATATAAACTGTTTGGCAAATGTACCATATAAGGTAAGAGCTAAGAGAGAAAAAAGGATATTCCACTCCAATATAACTATTCAAGAAAAGTTTTATACTTGCAACCCTGGGTACACATTTTTCACATTTCTCCTTCATTAATTTTACACAAAAGCTGACTTTCTGCATGTGTGTGTGTGTGTGTGTGCGTGTGCGTGCGCTCTCAATTCAGTGTTGACTCAATCTATCTCTTTCTCTCTCCAAAAACAGTCTAGCGTAAATTTTTCGTCACTACAGAACATACAAATTTACTCTTAATATTTAACAAAATTATATTACAAAATGAAGAAGGATATGGCATTTATTATTGCCAAGAATAAATGCAGTACAGGTAGTCCTCGACTTACAACAGTTCCTTTAGTGACTGTTTGAAGTTAAAATGGCACTGAAAAAAGTGACCTAGGACCATTTTTCACACGTATGAGCAGGGTATCATCCCCATGGTCACATGATTTATGTTCGGATGCTTGACAACTGACTCACATTTATGACGGTTGTAGTGTTGTGGGGTGATGTGATCATCTTTTGCAACCTTCTGACAAACAAAGTCAGAGGGGAAACCAGATTCACTTAACAACTGTGTGCCCAATTTAATAACTGCAGTGATTCAGTTAAGAAATGTGACAAGAAAAGTCATAAAATGGGGCTAAACTCGCTTAACAAATGTCTTACTTAGCACCATAAATTTTGGGCTCATTTGTGGTTGTAAGTCGAAGATACCTGTATAGCTATTAGGACAGTGGTTCTCAACCTTTTTAATGCCGCGAACCCAACCGGTCGTAAGTCGAGGAGTAAACCGGTCGTAAGTCGAGGACTAAACCGGTCGTAAGTCGAGGACTAAACCGGTCGTAAGTCAAGGACTACCCAACCGGTCGTAAGTCGAGGACTTTCCCTGCCCGGGAGCACCACACATGCGTGGTTCCGCCCCCTGCGCCGGCCGAGGCGTAGCTGGCAAGCGGCAGAGACGGAGCAGGCTGACCACCAGCTGGCCCAGCCCAAGGGAGGTAAGGCACCTGCCGGAAAAGGGGAAAAAAATGGCGGACAAAAAAAATGGCGGACAGCCTTGCTTAGCGACCCCCGTGAAATGGTCGATCGACCCCAAATGGGGTCCCGACCCACAGGTTGAGAACCACTGTATTAGGAGATCTTTATACATCTGAAATAACAGGTGTGAATTAGCACAACAGTTATTAATACAAACAGCATAAACCTACACTCCACCTTTCTATTTAATGAAACATTGCTACCATGAAAATACTACTGAAATATTAATAAGCAATGTGGAAATTGTTTCAAAAGCAGTGAAAAGATTGCTTTGTATTTTACCTCTTGATGTGTAATTCGTGTGCCATTGTAAAAAGATAAAACTGTGCCAGCTTCAGCAGCTATTTTAGTAAACAAACCTTCTCCAGCATTGGAAATAAGAGACGCATCAACATAGACCCTAAATTAAAGCAATGAATAAAAATAGTATCTGATCTACAACTTCATACATGTGCATTAAGGTTTCTAGGACAGATCCTATTAGAGCGTACATGAGAATCTAGAAGCGAAGCTCATATTGCTAAGTGTTAAGTTTGGAATATGTCAGAAGAAACAAATAATTTAAAGTCTTTTAAGGGAAAAGGCTAGGCATTCGTATCATGTTTTAGAAAGATTAAAATTACACATTTCATATTATCCTAAATTCTGGATATCTGAGGATAATTAAAAATGAGTCCCAATATACAATTTATTTCAAAAAGGTTTAAATAACCTTTTTTATGTTATTCACAACTGCAATCCTTTGAAATCAGCCTTGGAATTAGTCCTGTTTAATATACAACACATATTTCTGAGTATCATCATATGAAATTATGCTGTAAGGGAACTCTGTGGGGGTAATCAGAAAAACAAATGATAGTTATGACTGTAAGATCAAAGTTCCACCCATTTTAATATGTGTTGCATACATGTAAAAAGCGACCGGGCTTGATTGTGTGTTCATGTCTGCCATCCTGATTTTAATTCACCTGTGTATGTGTGTATGTGTACGCGTACACACACAAAGACAATATACTCAAAGCAGTAGACAGACTGGAGCCAAAACCATCTTGTGGAAAAACAGACTAGACAAGAGATTCCCAGTTTCTCAGTTTATAACATTCTGAGTATCTTGGTAATTTTTTCATGGTGCTCCTATGCAAAACTGTGAACTACTTCAAGCCAGGAGTTTATGATCCCATAGCACTATTGTGAATTCACTGGGGTAGACTTGTGTGGCTCAATGCACAGTTTGAAAAGGATATGACTAGACTAATATCAAATGTGGTAATCTCAATGTGATCATAAAGGATTAAAATTTGGGCTTGGAAATGAAGTAAATGGACGGTATAGTCGTGTGTAATCTAGTGAAATATTATTTGCAACTATTTGCACGGAAAGACAAAACTATAACAAAACATTCTACCTCTCTGATTCATAACGGTCAGGAAGAAGTGGACTTGTAGAAATGCAGGATGAAGTAGATTTATCAAAACTGTAAACTGGGCCTATAATAAATATATAGGATAAAAATGTACCCACTGTGTTAAGCAAATTTAATATTTTAAAAAATACCACTATTTTACGATCAATTAATATAGAATTTTGTACATACATTTCGATTTTCTTCCCAACTGTAAGTAGTTTAGCTTCACCCAAAAATAATGCTTCTTGACTAATTGCAAATCAATTCTGAATGAGGTCTATTTGCATATACTAGGTATACAAATGGATCACTTTTTAAGTGTGCTTTAGTCTTAAATAGTATTTTTGCATGCCCCTTAAAAACTTAAAAATTATATATCATACAAATGCTAAAAATATTAAGTGTCTAAAATTTATTAGAAAATATTTTCCTTGGTAACCAAATTCTAAAAATGGATCTGTTCCTGAATGCCATCACTTTAGAGAGTTGCAATATACCTACTGTCAAAGCATACAGTAAATCATAATCTAAATTTTGTTCCAAAGGAGTAAGCAGCAGCCACCATATTACATCTAATTCTTTTCAAAAAACAAATTATGTTTCTTCATGTTTTTCTTTATTAAATATATATGCCACCATCTCACTATTTTAGCCTGTTTATATAACTGGGGTCCTTGAAAAAAAACATCAAATAGCTTTAGATGAGGCATAAACAATGGGCACTATCTAACAAAATGAAATTCAATGGTGGAAAAAGAAAGGTTCTACATTTAGGTAAGAAAAACCAAATGCACAGGTATAGTATATAGGTGGTACCTTGCTCAACAGTAGCAACTGTGAGAGGGATCTTGGAGTCCTAGTGGACAATCACTTAAATATGAGCCAGCAGTGTGCTGCAGCTGCCAAAAAAGCCAACACAGTGCTAGGCTGCATTAACAGAGGGGTAGAATCAAAATCACATGAAGTGTTAATACCACTTTACAATGCCTTGGTAAGGCCACACTTGGAATACTGCATCCAGTTTTGGTCACCATGATGTAAAAAAGATGTTGAGACTCTAGAAAGAGTACAGAGAAAAGCAACAAAGATGATCAGGGAACTGGAGGCTAAAACATATAAGGAATGGTTGCTGGAATTGGGTATGTCTGGTTTAATGAAGAGAAGGACGAGGGGTGACATGATAGCAGTGTTCCATATCTAGGGGTTGCCACAAAGAAGAGGGAGTCAAGCTATTCTCCAAAGCACCCGAAGGCAGGACAAGGAGCAACCTAGAACTAAGGAGAAATTTTCTGACAGTTAGAACAATTAAACAACCTGCCTCCAGAAGCTGTGAATGCTCCAACACTGGACGTTTTTAAGAAAAGACTGGACGGCCATTTGTCTGAAATGCTATAGCAGTGGTGGCGAACCTATGGCACGGGTGCCAGAGGCGGCACTCAGAACCGTCTCTGTGGGCACGCGTGCCATCGCCCCAGTCCTAGGCCTTCAGCTGGGTTTTATAAAACCTTTTCGCTTTAGGCCTCCGCCACCGTGTGCAAAAAAAAAAAAAGGTTCAATCAATCAGTCAATTTCAACTTCTCTTCTTGCAAAGTTGGAATTGATTGATTGAACTTTTTAGTCCCACCCAGTCTGCCGTTACCACCGCAGCCACGCCCACCCAATGGGCACGCCCAGCCAATGGGTCACACCCACCCAATGGGCCACACCCACCCAGCATCCGACGATGCATAAGTGGTTTGGGGTTGCAGTATGGGCACTCGGTCTCTAAAAGGTTCGCCATTACTGTGCTATAGGGTTTCCTGCCTGAGCAGGGGGTTGGACTAGATGACCTCCAAAGTCCCTTCCAACTTTATTATTATTATTATAAACTGACTTGAAGTAACCCCTTGATAGTAGCAATATTCACTGCCTCTAAAAGCACATGATTTTTCTCTTTTTTTTTCATTATTTTTTGCTCTGTTCCTTCCAGCTACTATGCACTAAACACACAGAATTAGAGCAAAGGAGTTTATAATCTGGAATTCAACAACAGTACTCTCAGAAAGGGCTCAAGAAAGGGCTGCTAGATAGGAAGTCGACATAGTGCTTGGTAGGCCTCAGAAAATAGACAATGTTTAGAAGAGCAACTGGAAATTAAAAAGGGGTGACAAATATTGTTGTATTTCTTGACCTGAAATGAGACTATAGATTACAATATTTATATTTATTTTGTCTGCTGTCCATGTAAAATTAAATTCATCCACTTGACTGAAAAAAGAAACACAGAGGAACAGTAATTATATATGGTTCTGAGAATCTTTCCTTTCCTTTGTATATTCAGCTGTTGTAAATGGGGATCTGTATTCAAAATATAAAAAGCCAACCTAACTATTAACATCAAATATAGGTTCACATTGCTACATTATTTGGTAAAACACATAGAATTAGCTATTGGAAGAATTTGGTCCTAAAGGCAATATATATTGTAAATACAGTACTTTAATAAAGTAGTCAAATCTTTAAGAGGACCTAGACATTCACACATTATGAGATATAATATAGTACATTAGTGACAACTTACTGCCTGGCACAATATCAAATTGTAGTTTTTCTTCCTCTGCCAGTATAACCTTTGCCAGTCTTGCTTCTATCATTTCACCATCTATGAAGTGTCCATAATATGCCGTCTTTCCATCAGGGTACACATAGGCCAGCTTTTCTCCAGTCATCTCTCCTTCTTCATTAACTTCTCCAGCCAGAAACCCACCATCCTGAAAAAGAACAACAAAGGCATTTCCAAAAATTAAGGGGAAATGTTGTGTGCTATTTTTTTTAATTTAATGAAGATTATTATTAACCAAAATCTTTAGTCTCAATATTGAGATGAGGGGTTCTCAAACTTTTTCAACCCAAAGTTAAAAAGTTAAATTAAATTCCCAGTACCCTGATGGAAAGGCAAAACTCTGGGGTTAGACAACTGACTTTGTTTGACTGATTTTTTAAAAATTGTCCTCTCACAGAATCTTAGACTTCCAGGGAACAAAATGTGAAAAACTCTGATCTGGACAATAAAAGTGCCAGTTAGAACTTTATTCTTTCATTTCCTATTATTTCATTTACTCTGACTTTTGCACCTCTCCACTCACTATTTCAGTCCTATTAATGTTAAATGCTGGGTCTGTAAAGATGAAGGTATTTAGTTAAAAGCATACTGTACACATTTAAAATTTAAAAGGTAGAACCTAAGGAAAAAGAAAGCCTTCTCACAAGGGATTCACACACTGTCTACCTCTAATGGAAAATTATTTGAGTGACAGGTTCCATTTACAAAATAAATTACAAAATAATCATTTTTACTGTGTTCTGCTTCCAAACCAACAGCTCAACCCTAACACATTCTAACAAAGCTAAGTCACCACTGAGTTTGGAAAATATGCTGTATCCAAATTTCAGGGAGATTATGACTGAAAGGGTGGGTTAAAATACAAAGGACTATATTTTTGCTCTCATTGGGTTTCATATGTTGTCAATTAAAACAGATCTAACACCATGACTAGCCTTTATTAGCATTTTTGTCATTTGAATGCAATGTAACTCAGCTCTTCCCTTTTCCCAGTTTTTCTCTATCTTTCTTTATTCTCTATTTTGAGCTCTATATCTTAACCAACAGAACAATTCTGCTGGTGGGTTTATTTGGGTTTTCAAAAGAAAGTTTTGATAGCTCATAATTTTAAAATCTTTCAATAAAGTATTAAAAAATAGTTCTGTCAACTTTCAGAAGACAGAAAGTTCTTTCCATAGGCAGAAATATTATGTGCTTCATCCTGTGCTTCTCAGCTAGCATAACTTGGAGAAAGGATTATGCTGCATTTGAGTTCATTAATTTTGCTAAACATTCATTCAGCTTTTTCCAAGTTGGCAATCTTCAGATATCATGCAACCGCTATTCCCGTGTTGACAAGTAAATTGAAGAACTGTAGTCCTCACTAGATTTAAAGCATGTCAAACTCGCGATGTCATGTGACGTCATGCGACATATCGTGACTTTTTCCCCATTGCCGACATTGGCGTGGGTGCAGTTTTGCCATGATGCATCTGGCCCGTAGGCTGGCAGTTTGACATGCCTGCTTTAAAGGGTATCATAGTGAAGAATATTGCATATAAAATACTTTAGTAATATGATTCTTTGCTAGTTATGGCTGCAAAGCAAGATACATTTTTTTCTTACTTTCCTAGGGACAATTCAGAACTGAGTGCAAAGGGCTATTATTCAGTCTTCTTCCATAGCTTAACACTGCCTTCAAATCTATTTTGAGGGAAGAGAGGAAAAGCATGCTATCTATAGGAATCCAATAGCATGCTTTGTTCTTCAAGTTACATAACTGAGAACATTTTGTTACCAGTGGAGGGATGTCTCCATAGCAAAGTGTCACTAGCTTGAGCATCCTGAATAGAGCCATTCATTCATTCATGAAAACAATAGCAATTCTGCTGTAATTATTCTATATCAAAATTGGTTAAGATTGTCTCAAAAGTATTTATTAAAACCTTTATCCAAGCCACACCAGATAGTTCATGCATTTGTTCATGTGCACAAAATTGACACATGGCAGCAAACAGTTTATGTTGTGTTACTTGCAACACAACCTGGAGCCACTCTATAAAGCGGCTAAGGTGGAACTTTTCTGCATTTAAACTTTGTATTGCTATGAACATCTGTATTCAACTATGCTCATTTATTTTTCTTATTTTTTGATCTTCTTTCTTGTTTTATTTATATACTTATAGTATACATGTATACTTGTATAATTTATATTATGCTGTAAACTTCCATTAGTCAGTCCAGATTTGGCAATACTGTACACAACTGTAATAAAATAAGATATTCATTTACATCCAAACTGTAACAAGCTATCTCCATTTAGCTGTGAAGAAGTGAACAAAATAACGAAAACAGCATTGTATTGCTGTGTAACAATTTCTGCCACTTTTGTAATGCATTTTAGATCACATACTGTATATGTACTAAAGAGATGAAGCCTGCACTGTGTTGATGTGAAGCTCTCCCTTGAACCCTGCAGATTCCTTGGTATAACTGTTAATGTTACATGCTGAAATATATGAGAAAATAATCCAACTTACTGAATAGTAAATCCAACCAAATCCATGCCGAATATTATCTTTGTATTGCCCTTTGAAGACCAATCGTCCATCAGCATCATATTCCTGAGCTGGCCCATTCAGTTCACCATCAATGTAAGTCCCATGAAGTGCGCCTCCATCCTCATAGGTGTATATTCCCTGGCCTTGCAGGCTATCATCAACATAAAAGCCTTCTAGAGTGCTAGCAAAGAAAAAAAGGATAGTGTGGAAATGATTGTTATTTTATCTCTTCTACAGAGAAAAAAATTAAGACCCTTCCTAATTTGTTTAAGATCTGTTTACCTAAATGTGTCCTCCTTGTAAACAGAAGTTCTTCATATCTGCTTTAAAGACCTTGCTGTTTGTACTTGAGATGGGTAACAAAGTGAGTGACCTCAAGAAAGATGGACTACTTAGTGCTTGTACCACAGTTCTGCGATATTACTCCTTTAGAGATTTTTCTTTCTTTCTTTCTTCTTTGGCTTCCTTTCAGTATAATTTGAAAACCTGTCCTATCGGACAGACTATTCACATCCAAGATTTTTTTATGATCAATTTATTTCTGTTTTTTTTTTTGTGATGAAAATCACAGCTTTAGTTTATTTAAAGAAGGTTTTTAAAAACCTGCCTTGTTTTTCTGATAAACTTTATATAGTGAAGAGTGATACTTTGTAATATGTCTCATACATTGTAACCTTATGATATAGCTATTGCTCTTTTCCATTTAAAGAAATGGTCAAATTATTGCAAAGTTGTGGCAAAGAGGAAAGTGAGTTCTAGTTCCATTTTCAGCACTTTGGGTTAAGGAGCTTAAAGAGACAATGATATTTGTGGCTTCAAATCGTGTACACGCCATAAAGGCATCACAATGATTTCACAGAAAAGAACATGAACTAAAGAACTTAGAGAAGATCAAGAACATGTCTACTATTTATAACTTACTTATTTTTGGTAAGAACTTAATAATTATTTTTGTTCCATATATTATAGAACAGAAGTCAAAGAACGCAGGACCAATCATAAGTTCTACAGCACAAGTAATTTGTTACTTCGCTTTATCAATTATTATCCCACCATTATAAAGTATTATCCTATAGTTTTTTAAAAGAACATTAATCTTTAAAATAAATAAATAACAGTATAAAGCCAATGGAGCTTGTAACATGTCATTGTACTTGATTGTATTTTTTTTTAAAGTAAACCCAGCAAATAAATAGTCAGGTAGTTCTTGATTCAAGACCACAATTTGGACCAGAATTTTCAATGTTAAGCAAAGCAATCGTTAAGTGAGTTATGTCCAATTTTATGCCCAATTTTTTACGATTGTTAAGTGAATCACTGCAGTTAAGTGAATCACAGGGTCATTAAGCAAATTTGGCTTCACTCATTGACTTCGCTTGTTGGAAGCTGGTCGGACAGGTTGCAAATGGGATGATGCAACCCTCATAAATATATACCAATTGCCAATCACCTGAACGTCAATCATCTGACCATCCAGATGTTGCAATGGTTGTAAGTACCTGTTGTACTTTGCACAGATTTTTCAGTGCTGTTGTAATGTTGAACAGTCACTAAATGAATGGTTGTAAGTCAAGGACTATCTATAACATCCTAAGTCATAATGTTGATTTATTTATTTCATAGATCAACATGTTTTATGTTTCCAAACACTGTGGTTTAGAAATCATAGGTACTAGTTCAATATGTTATGCCTACCCACTAATTTTGGTACATCATATATTTGTGTCTAAAACACTATGGCTAAATATGAATTCAGAATCCAGTAAAAGAACTCATAAACACTGTGATGTCTACCTTCCATCAAAGAAGAAGAATTTTCCATGACCATTCTTTTCTCCATGCACAAAGTTCCCTTCAAATCTGTCTGTGGAAGAATATGTGACTATACAAAACCCATGGGGCATATCATCATCATCAAGTGTTCCTAAAAAATAACAATAAAAAACTATTTTGAAAACCAGTGGGACTCACACAAGCAATCTGTTCTTACAAGAAACAGCATTGGACATGATTTTATCCAGCCAAACTAACTCAAATTCCTCTAGCACATTGCCTTTATACTGCTTGAATATTTATAAATTCAGTAGAAATATAGTACTTATCCACTTAAATTATTATTTAAGACACTGATAAATACATCTCTGTCCTGTTTCAGAATCTGATATATGTTCTGAGTGGAGAATGAAAGAATAGCATAAGGGCCAAATGATCAGCATTCTGCAAAATTGGTATTATGGGAGAGATTACATTCTATTAAGGAAATCTATGCATGTAGAAATGTAGCTATCAGACAAGTGCTACTGACCTAGTTCATTGATGTAAAATGACCCTTATGCCAAGCAAATGAAATAACTCAGACACACTCCCAATAAATCATGGGTGATATATTTTCAAACTTCGTTATTTTATATCTGCATGTTCCCAACGAGTCTGTATCCAATGAATAAACCTGCACATTTTTGATAGATGAAGTAGACAAGTGAAAACATTTTGAAGCATGACACAGTGAGATAAATAAATATGACCAAACCAGATGAGTCAACACAATTCAGAGTTTATTTCATTATATCCCAAATTTATACAGGACATCATTTTGACAGCAGGAATGTTGCAGCAAATTTAATGCATACTGTACCAATTTTGTATGAAGTCATAGGTTTTATTTTATTCCATTCTCTACAGATCTAGACATACAAGGACAGAAACAGGGACTCAATTCAAACAGTGGGACATTTTTAGATATACAAGAAATGTGTTTTGATTCAAACGTATCTTTTACTGTATCTTGTTATGCACTTGCAATAATTCTTAGATTATATTGTTTCCAATGTTTTATTTCTTGACATTATAATATTTAGTCAATTGAAATATTTGTTCTTAGTTTTGACTCAGATCAAACAAACTGGTTTTTTTTTTAAAAAAAATGCATATTGCAGATAATGCCACTTACCTGGTTATCTGCAAAAATGAAAACTGCATCAGCTGCCCAAGAAAACATAGGTTTTATTACTGTCAGTTTTCAAACAACACTGACTTGTAATTGTATCAGACTGCATTGCTAACTATAGTTGACATTTGTTCCACAGCATCTTTATAGAGTTTGACAATGAACTATTGATCTGATAGTTTTACTTCCTTGGAATCAACATGTTAACTGAGAAACACATTCAAAGGTTGATTACATTTTGCTAAACTTTCAAAGTTCATAATATTATTGGATATAAGAGAGATGTAGAAACACTGGCAATATTTGGATTGATTAGAATATAGGAGGCTAGAGACATTGGAAAATTCTTTCAGTATGAATAAATGTAGAGATTGTACAAATGAAATAAATAGCACAGAAATAAAGTTGAACAAAACAATCAGGGATCTTTATTATCTCACCTCTTCTAATAACAATACTAAAAGTCAAAATGCAGACAGTCCCGTTACAGCATATTTTATACCTGAGTAACAGATTTCTATGTTTGTAGCAATATGAAAACTGGTGAATGGGATTTTCAAATACAGTATATCATGTTTCTTGTAACATTTTTATGTGGGACAAAGTGACCCTGAGACAAGCAAGACATCCCCATCATCTAAGATCTCCAATTCCAGGGAAATGTGTTAAAATCCACAGATGTGTTATTATAATTTGCTTTTGTTGTTTAAGTACAAGAATTTTAAGTAAGCACCAACTAATAAAAAATAAGATGACCACTCTCCTTCCACTTATCAACATCCTCAAAGGCCTATTTGAAATGGAAGATTTTTAAGAAGCCTCCTAAATGGCTCAGTATGCTTTTAGGCTCACCATATTTCACAAAATTAGAGCCATATTCCACAAATTTATCTTTGGGCCCATGCCCACCTCACCTCACCTGGGAGCAGGATCTTAAATAGGCTATATTCTTAATTATCAGCTAGGATGGGCAAAATAATTTTGGACAATGTAGTTGCTGAGGTAACCCAGCGTTTTGTCCTGTAGGGCTTCATAGGTAATAGCATTTTGAATTGGGCCCAAATGACTCCTACCAATCAGCGTATCACCCATAAAATAAGTTTTCTTTTGCAATGCTGGGATCACAGCAGCCTGGGCTCCTGCTTTCTGTATCAGCAGTACTTCTACATTATCCTCAAAGTAGAATAGTCTACTGTAATAATCTCACTGTAATAAGGTCATGAATCATTATTGTGCCTGAGTCCAGGTAAGGTTATAACTGGCATATTAACTGAAGTTGAGAAAAGACCACTCTAGTCCACTCAGAGCCACAGCTGGAACCAGGTTTCAGGAAAGCGGAATATTTTTTATGGATGAACAATAGCTCTGACTTACTAGAGTTTAATCAGAACTTGTTTCTTCACAACCAGTTCCTAACACTTACTTAATATCTTTACAGCATCCTTGGCCTGGTCTAAAGTGGTGATGTACAGCTCAGTAACCTTAGCATACCAATGATACTTTATCTCAAACCAATTGATAATCTTTCCCACAGTTTTATAAAGACTTTAAATAATTTGGGGAGAAGCCTGGCATTGTGGTAATCTGCACTAGAACAATTATGGGCTTAATACTCTTCCCCTAGTAGTACTGACTAGCCATTCAGGTGTGATTCTTATCAACAATCTTATTCTAAAAGGAATGGTTGCAGATTTAGTGAAAAGTGCCCAGAATTGCTGGATCAAGAGATGGCCTTTTCAAGAAAGGGTCACTACCACCTTTTCCAGAGCCAGGAACATCCCTATCAAATCCAGGTAACCAGGTGTACACCCAGTGGTGGGATTCAAGTATGTGAACAACCGGTTCTCTGTGTGGATGCCGCTTCCGGAAGTCCATTTGGGCCCGGGCAACAAAAAATTAGCTACCGGTTCTGCCGAAGTGGTGTGAACCGCCTGAATCCCACCACTGTGTACACCCCTGGCCACTCAAATCAGCCAAGTCACACTAGTGACTAAGATCATATTCTACTACAAAGATTTGATCATCTAACCAACCTAAAGAAAAAAGTGACCCAACAGAAGTCAGAATTACTGCAGGAATTCTTGAAAGGAACCTGAAATTCTACCAATATTTATGTGAAAATAGATAATTCATAATCTAACATTATGAGCCTGATATTTCATTTTAAAGGAAAAAATTCATTTTAAAAGAAAAAAAGAAAAAGTTCCCAAATGCTATTTTTCCTCTAACAAGACTTCTCAAAGAAATAATATCCACTTAAGCTGCGTCCCTTCTCAAAAAATGTCTTCTTAGCTATTAAATGGTAGAAAAACCAAAAAAAAACCTTAGTCACATATGCTATATGTTATATGTTATAGAATATGTTATATACCTCATGTTAATGTGATAAATTAACTGCATCAGACCTAAATTCTTAAGACCTTTGCAAAACCACTCTAAGAAGTCTGACTTGAATACCGGTACTTTGCATTTATTAAATTGTATCTCTCTGTTTAACAGTGTGACATTAAACAGATTAGGAAAAGAAATAAAACAGATTTTGATTTGCATGTAGATCTATTTTATCATAAAATTCAATGGAGAAATGCCAATATCTTGTTATCAGGAGCAAGTCTGACATACTGACCTTTTCAGACAGTCAATTCAGCCCCAATACCGGATATTACTAAATGAAGAGCAGTGTTCTACTCAAAGTAATATATGAAAGTTCCCATCTCAACAAAAATATCCTACATGAAATAAAATTTATCCAGTTTTCTGAAAATATTTATGATAATCCAAAGAGCTTCAGGATTGGAAAGTCTACAACAAAAACATTTTATGAGTCTTGTTTTAATAAAGCCCTAAACTTGTTTTCTTAGTCAAATAGACAACTCATTAAAGAACAATTGATTTTTATGATATAGACTTTCAGAATCTGTCATGCTAATATCTTGAGCACTTCATTTCTAAAAATAATACAAAATAAAATTAGGCCATTGGATTCAAAACTGTCCTGAAGCACCATTTTTCTTAATCTTTATACTTACATTTGCTGTATTGCAGAATCTAAATTGAAAAGGCAGTATAACTCCATTCTGTACATTATCAAAAAAGCTTTTATGGTTCAAGAGTACAGAGTTTCTCCTCCTAGCCTTTAATTTTGGAGATTTAATTTTACATTAAATAAATCTGCTTCCAGGCTGCCTAATAAAGGCTGCTACTTCTGTGCTGACATGTTAGGACACGGCACCAATGTTCCCTTTACTACAAGCGTATAATCTTGCAGAATATGCTCTCTCCACGTCCAGTCATGTAACAATCTCATCTTGTAAGACATACTTTGTGCACATCAAGTACTTGTGCTGGACATGCCCAGACACATAACATACCTCCTCCTGCAGGAAGTACATGGCTGAAGTCATTGGAAGGGTCTCTGCTCAGTTGCAGACTATAAATAAATATTCTGCACATAGGTGTGTTCATTTTTATTATCATTTTATTCAAAAAGGCTGAAAATAGGGCTTGCTCACTAAATTTATTTCTTCATTGCTTGCTGGAGGATTGCAAAAATATATGTATGGATTTCAAAAAACAGGCTATGTCAGTGATGGCGAACCTTTTAGAGACTGAGTGCCCAAACTGCAACCCAAAACCCACTTATGCATCGTTGAGTGCCGGGTGGGTGTGGCCAATTGGGTGGGCGTGACCAATTGGGTGGGCATGGCTCCAGTGGTAATGGCAGACTGGGTGGGACTAAAAAGTTCAATCAATCAATTCCAACTTTGCAAGATCTTTTTTTTTCCCGCGAGAAGTTGAAATTGACTGATTGAACCTTTTTTTTTTTTTTGCACATGCGGTGGGGGCCTAAAGCAAAAAGGTTTTATAAAACCCATCCGAAAGCCTAGGACTGGGGGACGGCACACGTGCCCACAGAGAGGGCTCTGAGTGCCGCCTCTGGCACCCGGGCCATAGGTTCGCCACCACTAG